GGCCCAGACAGTGCATTAAATTTACAGCGCGGCCAAGTGTGTGGGGGAGAGGGACCTCCCGTCCCGGGGAGCTTCACTCAAACCATCATCGTTGAGGACTATTCCCCCGGTGTACCGATCTTGGTGTGTTCACATGCATGTGCACTATTTGGTGAGCCTGCTCGGCCTTTCGTTTTGAATTCATTCCTACTCGACGTACATTCGTTGAATTCATTCCTACTCCTACATTCCTACCTAACGGTATCTCTCTGTTCCTGGAAGGTTGCACTTTGCTTGTGCTTTGGAGAGGATGAGATGCAGCTGTTATGTGTGCGATGTAGCAAATTTTGGCACCACACCTGAACGTCCCAAATCTCAACCTCGTTTGCGGAGTACAAGATTCGGGTGGAAACGGAAACCGTTTATAGTTTGCAAGATTGGTGGCTCTCACCCTAGTGAGACACTTTATTAATTTGAGTCAGTTGTTGGGAGAGCCGAGATGAAAAATCAAAGACGGGCAGACCCACGTGTCATAAAAGCTCTATCCACACTTGGCTATCATTCAGACCTATCCACTAACTCATCAAAGAATCAACCGAAGATAAAATATCAGTGCGCATAAAAGCATAATCTGCACCAATAGTAGCCACGGTACCGAGAGGTGAGAGGTACCACGGTACGATACCGAGAGGTGAGAGGTACCACGATACGGTACCGGTAGGATGAAAAATGTACGTGGCGTGCCGTGGTCAGCACCATGCCGGTCATCTCAGCAGTGACATGATGTTACGCTACTCCCACAGACACTCGCGACAGGACTGTCCTGACCCGCGGTGAGCGTGCCGAGGTCGTGCGCCGCGAAGACAACCTTCGCATGGAGGGCACGTTCGAGGACCGGCCGCGCGAGGAAGCGCCGCGCGGACAGAAGGCGCTGCCCTACAAGTACGCCGACAACCTGCAGCCGGAGGGCGAGTTCGTCGACCGGCGGCCGGATGAAGCCCCGAGAGGAGAACGGGCTCCGGTGGTGCGGCGCCCCGACAACCTGACCATGGAGGGCGACTTCGTGGACACGCGCGAAAAGCACACGCCGGGCCGGGGCGACCGCGCGCCCGTCGTCAAGCACCCCGACCACCTGAAGATGGACGGCAAGTTCGAGGACAGGCCCAAGGAGGACGCGCCGAAAGGCGACAGAGCCCCGGTGGTCAAGCATCCTGACAATCTGAAGATGGAAGGCAGGTTCGATGATCGCCCCGCTCAGGAGGCGCCCCGCGGTGAAAAGGCTACGCCGTACAAGTACAGGGATAACTTGAAACCCGAAGGAGAATTCACCGGCAAGCCAGTCGATGAGGCTCCAAAGGGTGAACGAGCCCCTGTTGTCAAACGCCCAGACAATCTTCGACCCGAGGGCGCCTTTGAAGACCGTCCCCGTGAAGAAGCACCGAAGGGAGAGAAAGCCACCCCTTACAAGTACCGGGACAATTTGAAGCCTGAGGGAGAGTTCGTTGGAAAGCCCACTGAGGAGGCGCCAAAAGGAGAACGGGCTCCGGTGGTGAAGAGACCCGACAACCTGAGACCTGAGGGTGACTTTGAAGGCCGTCCTCGCGAAGAAGCTCCCAGAGGCGAGAAAGCGACTCCCTACAAGTACAGGGACAATCTGAAGCCAGAAGGAGATTTCACTGGAAAACCAACAGAGGAAGCACCAAGGGGTGAGCGGGCCCCTGTTGTTAAGAGACCCGATAATCTGAGGCCTGAGGGTGAGTTTGAAGGCCGTCCTCGCGAAGAAGCTCCCAGAGGCGAGAAAGCGACTCCCTACAAGTACAGGGACAATCTGAAGCCAGAAGGAGATTTCACTGGAAAACCAACAGAGGAAGCACCAAGGGGTGAGCGGGCCCCTGTTGTTAAGAGACCTGATAATCTCAGACCTGAGGGTGAGTTTGAAGGCCGTCCTCGCGAAGAAGCTCCCAGAGGCGAGAAAGCGACTCCCTACAAGTACAGGGACAATCTGAAGCCAGAAGGAGATTTCACTGGTAAACCAACAGAGGAGGCCCCTAGGGGTGAGCGGGCCCCTGTTGTTAAGAGACCCGATAATCTCAGGCCTGAGGGTGAGTTTGAAGGCCGTCCTCGTGAAGAAGCACCCAGAGGCGAAAAAGCGACTCCCTACAAGTACAGGGACAATCTGAAGCCAGAAGGAGATTTCACTGGTAAACCAACAGAGGAGGCCCCTAGGGGTGAGCGGGCCCCTGTTGTTAAGAGACCCGATAATCTGAGGCCTGAGGGTGAGTTTGAAGGCCGTCCTCGTGAAGAAGCACCCAGAGGCGAAAAAGCGACTCCCTACAAGTACAGGGACAATCTGAAGCCAGAAGGAGATTTCACTGGTAAGCCAACAGAGGAGGCCCCTAGGGGTGAGCGGGCCCCTGTTGTTAAGAGACCTGATAACCTTAGACCGGAGGGTGAGTTTGAGGATCGTCCGCGCGAGGAAGCACCTAAAGGAGAGAAAGCAACTCCATACAAGTACCGGGATAACTTAAAGCCTGAAGGCGAGTTCGTAGGAAAACCAGCTGAAGAGGCTCCAAAGGGTGAGAGGGCTCCTGTCGTAAAAAGACCCGACAATCTCAGACCCGAGGGTGACTTTGAGGGCCGTCCTCGTGAAGAAGCACCGCGTGGTCAGAGGGCCGTCCCGTATAAGTACAACGACAATCTAAGACCAGAGGGAGAGTTCGTTGGAAAACCAACAGAAGAGGCCCCGAAGGGTGAGCGAGCTCCTGTCGTAAAACGACCTGATAACCTTAGACCGGAGGGTGCTTTTGAGGATCGTCCGCGCGATGAAGCACCCAAAGGGGAGAAGGCAACTCCCTACAAGTACAGGGATAATTTAAAGCCTGAGGGGGAGTTCACTGGCAAGCAGCCAGCGGACGTCCCGAAAGGAGAAAGGGCTCCGGTCGTCAAACGGGCGGATAACCTCACAGTGGAAGGTGAGTTTACAGATACGAGAGAGCGAACAGCAGTGACCCGCGGTGAGAGGGCCGAAGTCATTCGCCGTGAGGACAATCTGAGGATGGAAGGCAACTTTGAGGACACGAGAGAAATCACCACCGTCACCCGAGGAGAACGCGCGGACATCGTGCGTCGAGAGGACAACCTGCGCATGGAAGGACAATTCGAAGACCGGCCGAAGGGGGATGCGCCAAAGGGCGAGAAGGTCAAGCCGATCAAGCATAGCGACAACCTTAGGCCGGAGGGCGATTTCACGGGCAGGCGTCCCGATGAAGCACCGAAAGGCGAAAGGGCCCCTGTCGTTAAGAGATCTGACAACCTTGTTATGGAGGGCGACTTCGTGGATACGCGAGAGAAGCACACGCCGGGACGAGGAGACCGCGCGCCGGTAGTGAAGCACCCGGACCACCTGAAGATGGATGGCAAGTTCGAGGACAGGCCAGTCAAGGAAGCGCCCAAGGGTGAACGGGCACCGGTCGTCAAACACCCAGATCATCTCAAGCCCGAAGGAGAGTTCGCCGGAAAGCCGACAGAAGAGGCCCCCAGAGGTGAGAGGGCCCCTGTTGTTAAGCGAGCGGACAATCTCGCTATGGAAGGCGAATTCGTGGACACCAGAGAGAAGACAACGATCTACCGTGGGGAGAGAGCCGACATTGTTCGTCGTGAGGACAATTTGAGGACCGAGGGACGTTTCGAGGACACCAGAGAGCGTACCACGGTGACACGGGGCGAGCGAGCGGACATTGTACGCAGAGAGGACAACCTCCGCATGGAAGGTACATTCGAAGACCGTCCGAAGGAAGGTGCGCCCAGAGGAGAGAAAGTTAAGCCGATTAAGCATGGCGATAACCTTTATCCTGAGGGTGAGTTCACCGATCGTCCAAGCGACTCTGCTCCGAAGGGTGAGAGAGCCGCTGTTGTGAAGCACGCCGACAATCTGACAATGGAGGGCGAGTTCGTCGACACCAGGGAGAGGACCAGCGTGACACGCGGAGAGAGGGCGGACATTGTGCGTCGTGAGGATAATCTGCGAATGGAAGGACGCTTCGAGGACACCCGAGATCTGACTACGGTCACGCGAGGCGAGCGAGCTGAGATCGTCCGACGTGAGGACAACCTGAGGACCGAGGGGCGGTTTGAGGACACGAGAGAGTACACGGCCGTGACGCGGGGTGAACGCGCGGAAATTGTTCGCAGGGAGGACAATCTGCGAATGGAGGGTCAATTTGAAGCCCGCCCTCGGGAGGGTGCTCCAAGGGGTGAGAAGGTGAAGCCCGTCAAACATCACGACAACCTCAAGCCAGAAGGCGACTTCACGGGTAAACCCAAAGATGATGTGCCGAAAGGGGAGAGGGCGCCAGTGGTGAAACACCCGGACCACCTCAAGATGGAAGGAGATTTCATTGATGGCAGGGACCGGCACTCGCCCGGCAAGGGGCAGCGCGCCCCCATCGTGAAGCACCCAGATCACCTGAAGATGGAGGGTGACTTCTACGATCGTCCCGATGGGGAGGCACCGAAGGGAGTGCGTGCGCCTGTCGTTAAACACCCGGATCATCTGAAGATGGAGGGCGACTTCACAGACGGCAGAGATCGGCACTCGCCCGGCAGGGGACAGCGTGCTCCGATCGTTAAGCATCCAGATCATTTGAAGATGGAGGGCGACTTCTATGACCGCCCGGACAAGAAAGCGCCGACGGGTGTACGTGCACCTGTTGTTAAGCACCCGGATCACCTGAAGATGGAAGGCGAATTCACTGACGGTCGCGATCGGCATTCTCCCGGCCGGGGACAGCGTGCCCCTATTGTACAGCACCCGGATCACTTGAAGATGGAGGGCGACTTCTACGATCGTCCCGACAAGAAAGCGCCGAAAGGTGTGCGAGCGCCTGTCGTCAAGCATCCGGACCATCTAAAGATGGAGGGCGAGTTCACAGACGGCAGGGATCGGCACTCGCCCGGCAGGGGACAGCGTGCTCCGATCGTACAGCACCCGGACCATCTCAAGATGGAGGGAGACTTCTCTGATCGTCCGGACAAGGAAGCTCCGAAGGGTGTGCGAGCACCAGTCGTCAAACATCCGGACCATCTGAAGATGGAGGGCGAGTTCACAGACGGCAGGGATCGGCACTCCCCCGGCAGGGGACAGCGTGCTCCGATCGTACAGCACCCGGACCATCTCAAGGTAGAGGGAAAGTTTACTGACACTCGTGATCGTACGACAGTGACGCACGGGGAAAGGGCCGACATGTTGTTCGTAGAGAGGACAATCTTCGCATGGAGGGTCGGTTTGAGGACACCAGGGAACAGACCGTTGTAACTCGTGGCGAACGAGCCGAAATCGTACGCAGAGAAGACAATCTCCGCACAGACGGCAAGTTCGAGGACACTCGCCAACACTCTGCGGTTACACGGGGAGAGCGAGCAGACATCGTTCGTCGGGAGGACAATCTCCGCATGGAGGGCAAGTTCGAGGACACCCGTCAACGCTCTACGGTTACGCATGGCGAGCGAGCCGACATCGTTCGCCGGGAGGACAATCTCCGCATGGAGGGCAAGTTCGAGGACACTCGCCAACACTCTGCGGTTACACGGGGAGAGCGAGCCGACATCGTTCGTCGGGAGGACAATCTCCGCATGGACGGCAAGTTCGAGGACACTCGTCAACACTCTACGGTTACACATGGAGAGCGAGCCGACATCGTTCGCCGGGAGGACAATCTCCGCATGGAGGGCAAATTTGAGGACACCCGTCAACTCTCAACGGTTACCCGCGGGGAGCGAGCCGACATCGTTCGCCGAGAAGATACACTCCGCATGGAGGGCAAGTTCGAGGGCCGGCCGCGCGGAGAGGCGCCGGCTGGCGAGCGGGCGCCCGTGGTGCGCCATCCGGACCACCTGCGCATGGAAGGCAAGTTCGAGAGCGGCCGCGAGATGGTGACGGTGATGCGGGGCGAGCGGGCGGAGATCGTACGGCGCAGCGACAACCTGCGCATGGAGGGCGACTTCAGCGGCCGGCCGCAGCAGCAGGCGCCCGTCGGAGACCGCTTCCCCGTGAAGAAGCACTCGGACAACCTCCGGATGGACGGCAAGTTCACCGGTGAGTGAACGCACGGCGCCGGACGCGGCTGGTGTTGCTGATGTACATGTCGTTACTACTCTGGGTCAGGCAAATATTTGTCTTACGATGCAGCTTTGTTCCTTCCGATGCAGCTGCACCGACGTTGAAATTACCAGCACGTAAGATCATATATTCGTCGTCTGTTTTTTTTTCTTCTTGCGATAGAGTGTTCCCTACGGTGCAAATTTACGGATGTTGGAGTTACCATCGCATAATGTGATATATTCGTTGTAACGTTCGGGATATGTGGCATGTCGCATCGCATATGTCGCATATGCACTTGGTCAGGTAGTTTACTTGGTCCTGTATGCGTGGTTTTCTACTGGCATCCCTGCGAAGTACGTAGTACGTCATGAATGCTTCTGTTGCGGTTTACGGCACCAGGCATCCATTTGCTTACTTCGACATGCGCTACAGTCAACTCCTACTGCGAACCATCGTTCCGCTTACGTCCCTCTACCTTCATGTTAATGCGTCCCTGCCGTATGCTGTGCGCGCTGCCATCATCGCTCAGACGGCTCGGCGCTGACGCCACCATCCCCGGTGTCCACAGATGGGCGGCAGCAGACGACCGTCGGTCAGGGCGAGCGGGCCTCCATAGTGAGACGCGAGGACAACCTGCGGCTGGAGGGCAAGTTCGAAGGTGGGCTCACGCGCTGGGCCCTGTCGGAGGGCTCGGGGCAGAGGGCTGCACTGCACCCATCCAGTCTGAGCCATGCGGCATGGGGCTGGGAGGGAGCCCTACAGCACAGCCTTCGAAGCACGTGTCTTCTGTCATCAGTCTGTTTATCCGCTTTCTGTCCTTAATCAGTTTGCTATCATCGTTCGACGTATTGGCTTTGCGTCATCATACAGTCTTACTAGTTTTTACAACACCGTTTTTGATAGCATTCTGCGTAACTAATTTCGCCGTGCATCAGTGGACAGGCGGCAAGTTAATAGCCTGTGCCGTGCTTGTTTCACTAACTCGTGTTCGCACTGTTATAACTAACAATGTCACACACTGCATGGGGGCTCTTTGTAGCATAGTGTGGTATGCGTCGTGAGAAGTTTAGCAAGAGGCAGGATTTGCAAGCACATGTCGTTGGTTGGACTCGTCATCATGCTAAAGGGTAGTTAAGCATTTTTGGCATATGCTTCTACTAGGGCATACCAAGTCTATCGAAATTAAAGTGCACAGGAGGCTTGTCTGGCATAATGTTACCAAGGGAGATAGCAACTTTTCAACTGTTTCAACTGTAGCAACTGTTGGTGTATAACTGCAGCGAGGATCGGGAATGTTTGTAAGCGTTTTGTAGTGGTTCAATACCAGGGATTGTGCAGATGTATGATGGTGGCATTGGGTCATAACTGATCCTTGGTACTCCCACGCCCGTAGGAAACATGTTAATGATCGGAAATATTGAATTGTCTCTAAAATGTTGCCAATTTCTACCACATTCCTCCGAATTTATGCAGCAGTATGGCTCCCTTGGCCCTTCCCTTGCTTGCGTCGCGCTGGGCACAACACATGAAATTGGGGGCAAAAAGAGCCGCTGCAATGATTACACAGCACCATGTGTCTCTAGGTGGTTGACTTGGACGCTTGGCTTGACTGCACACCACTTTTGATATAAACTGGACGTTAGGAAGCATTTGCGGCGCTCACTGGCGCTGTCAGTAAGATATCACCCCGCCGTGCACCTGCAGTGATCCCGGAGGGGCGCTCGTTGTTCACCACATCACCTGTCTCTGATCTGTGTGCACGCACCCCTACACACAGCCCAGCCCACAGCCTCACTGCCTGTCGACTGTTGTGCACACGTCTCGCTAATGACGGCGGGGTTACACAGACACGCAGCGACGCGCCACGCCGGCGGCCGGCGAGCGCGCGCTGCCGCGCCGGCCGGAGGATCAGCCGAGTCTTCAGAGTCAGTTCGCCGGCCGGCCGAGAGATGGCGCGCCCGGCGCCGAGCCGCGGCCGGCCGGGCGCCGCCGCTCCTGCTGTGTTGTAGTGGTGCGCTCCGGCCGGGCCCAAGTGATGCACCAGCCTGCCTGCCTGCCCTTCGGAGACGGCGAGCCGCCGGCCGGCGCTGGCTCGCTCTGTCGCTGCTGGCCCGCCCGCCGACACCACGGCTACGCGCAGCTGTAGCGCCCCGCAGGCGCTGCGATCTCGACGATTTCGTTCCGTTCCGTTCCACCGCAGGTTTTGTTTCCTTACGTCAACTGTTTTCTCGCGCTGCACCCGCCGGCTGCACCGTTTTGTTCATGCACCCGCGGCGACGATCGGCAGATTCCCGGCGGCAGACGACCGTGATGTCAGGCGAGCGAGCCGAGATCGTACGGCGCTCCGACAACCTGACGGTTGGCGGCGGCGACTTCAGCGCGCCGCGCGCGCCGGCCGCGCCAGCCGCCGGCGAGCGCGCGCCAGTCGTCCGGCCCCAAGACAACCTGCGCTCCGAGGGACAGTTCTCCGGTCAGTGGACTGGCGCGGAGGTGATCTGCGGCCGCCGGAACAGACGCGTGCGGTCGTGACGACGAGTTGGCCGTCGGCGAGGCGGCCTGAGTAGCGTTGGTTTCGCTTCGTTTGCGAGCTTTTGTTGCTTTTGCTTCGGCGCCACGAGGCGTCAGTTGAGCTTAGTGCCTGCCCTCTGTTCGTTCCGTTCTGCTTTATCTGTTTCGTTCCGCCCCATGTTTTCCTGTGTTCCGTCCTGTTTTGTTTGGTGGCCACGCGGCGCGGGCGCGGGCTTGACCGGCGCCGGACGCCGCAGACACGCGCCAGCGGACGGTCGTGAGCCGCGGAGAGCGCGCCGAGGTGCGCCGCCACCAGGACACGCTCAAGATGGAGGGCGAGTTTGTGGGCCGCACTGAGCAGCGGCACTCCCAGCACACGGTGCAGCAGCGCGAGGTTCGCGCGGCCGGCTCCCCCGGAGGTACGGCCGACGCCGCTCGCCCGCACTGACGGCCGGCCGCGCCCGGCGCCCGGCCGTGACCGGCGCCCGGCCGCGACCGGCACTTGTGCGAGCGAGTCCGGATACGCGTCGCCGGGTGCTGTCTTCGGGTTTTGTGTGGTTGCAAATTATTGCGATTGATCGGCTATCAAGTATCACTCGCACCTTGTTAAAGTGGCTGGGTAGTGCTGATATTGCCAGTTTTGGAGTTGCATACGTGTGTGAGTGGAATGAAGTGTCCGAGCGTGCTAAAAAAGGTGAGTGCTGTGAGATTAGTGAAACCCGTTTAGATTAATTATCTGCGCAATTGTTAAAACGCAGTTTCCTTTGCAGCCGTTCCCACCAGCCAGAACGACTTCATGCCGTTTAAAACGGTGAACAAGCAAGTGGGCCAGTCGACACAGCAGACGTCTGCAGTTCAGCAGTCTACCAGCCAGCAGCAGACCGCCTCTAGCTCCACCACTGCCGTACGCTCGGAGCAGCAGTCGGCGTCCACCAGTCACATGGAGCAGCGAAAAATGTCGTCCGCCGTGTCGGAGCAGCGCAAGACGTCGTCCGCTGTGTCGGAGCAGCGTTCGACTGCCGCCCAGCAGTCGGAGCAGCGCAAGATGGCCAGTCAGACCGCGCAGCAGAAGATCTCCAGCCAGTCAGAGCAGCGTGCCATGTCGACCAGCGAACAACGCACCATGTCGGCCAGCGAGCAGCGCACCATGTCGGCCAGCGAGCAGCGCACCATGTCGGCCAGCGAGCAGCGCGCCAGCTCGGCCACACAGTCGCAGACGGTCACGAGCAGCGTGGGCCGCTCGGAGAACGCGCGCCAGATCCGCGACTCGTCGGCGCACCGGCGCGCCACGCGCCAGAACACGTGGACCCGCGAGGACGGAGAGCGCGCCAAGGCCGTGCGCCAGGCGGACAACCTCCAGCTGGAGGGCTCGCACAGCTTCGAGACGAGCTCGGGCCGGCGCGGCCAGCGCCGCCTGGCGCCCGAGAACCAGCCAGTGGCCGGGCAGCGCTCTGGTGGCGTCCTGGTGTCGCCGGTCACCCAGGAAACGAAGCGCTCCGTCAGTGACCAGAAGTTCGTCGGCTCGCTGCGCAAGGAGGAGGAGAACGTAAAGAAGTGGGCGGCCAACACGCAGCAGCGCAGTACCGTGAGTAGCGCCGCGAGCAGCGCCGTGCAGCAGCAGACCACCAGCAGCGCGACGCAGCAGCAGCGCACCGAGTCGCGCACGGTGCAGCAGTCTGAGCGAGGTCGCTCCGTGCGCTCGTCCACCCAGTCCGGCGGCATCTTCCACGGCGACTACGACGTGTTCAAGGACAAGTCGATTAAGAAGAACCAGTCGTACGCCACGTACAAGCCGTGTCCGGCTTCCACGGTCGACTCACCACTCTCCGGCCTGCGCGTGGTGAAGCAGACGCATGACCACAAGTACTACATGCCGAAAGTGAGCGACTAGAACCGTGCCGGGCGTGGACACTTGACGCAGGGGGGGGGGGAGGAGGGAGAGGAGAGGGGTGCGGCCGGGCGCTCGGAGCGCGGCCGGCGCTGGCTCGCGGCCTCCCTTAGCTGCCGTCGCGCCGGCCGCGGCTCGACCTGCCCGGCTGGGCCGCGTTGGCAGACGAGCGTCGACGCTTACGTCACGCGCGGCGACGCTCGGACCACTTGTGATAAGACGCCTTCAGCCCGTCCACGAACGAGGCCTTGCGACCGTGCGGGGCGCCGGCGCCCCGCACCAGCGGAGCGGGCTGACTGTGCGCGGCCGAGGACGCGCCACGAGGACAATCAAAGTGGGACTGTAGCATGTTTTCTAGGTGGTGATGCTAGCATTTGCGGTCGCACTGTGTTCTATTAACATCAACCCGCTTGTGGTTACGGCAATCGGTATCCGTTGAACTAATGGCTATTTTTGCGAGGTGCAGCTGAAGGTGCTGTTGTATTTGTATTACTTACGTGCTGCAAAGGCGCTGCTGTATGTTCCTTTCGTTTATTTTCAAGGTGAAAATACGCTGCTTTCACATACGAAGTTTTTAATGGTATAATAATTATGCAATAAATGATTCTTAATACATTCCAGGCTTTGATTGTACAATTTTTGGTTGATATATCCAAGTATTTCTAGAATGGTGGGGTCAACCCTCGCCGTGGTCAGACCCGGATTCAGCGGCGATACGATGGAGGAACTATCGGGCTGATCCCGCACAACACATGTCAAATGACGGCGCGTTTCACCAGCAGAGCGAGAAGCGCCGACCTAGATAGACTGGGCAACCGCCCACCCGCCTGGCCTCGCCGGTCACGCCGCGCACGTCCGCGCCGCGCGGCAGGACGAAAACGGCACCCACGCCACTGCCGGAAGCCTCTCTCGTCGCCGGTTCAGCACCGCAGCCGACCGCACCACACATCACGGGGGCAAAGGATGCGTGCCGGGGCGAGAGAGTGCCGTGATAACATGCTAGACACGTGCGTCGAAGCTGGTGAAAGCCTGATCTGGCGGAGACCCCCACGCCGATAGCAGACGAGTAAGTCGCTTGCTCGGCCCATTCCTCCTCTGAGGTCTGGCACACTCGGCCTCAGACTTTTATGTTTTGCAGCTTCCTCGTTGAGAAAAGTTTGTTTTACAAGTGCGGACTTTGCAAGCTATTTTCCACTCCAGAGTGGTTTGATGGTCCGCCATCTGCATTCTACAAATGCGAGCGGTACCGATAGGTGCTGCTCGGAGACCAGCGGAGGAGACCGAGGTGCAAACAGCCCGGGTGTCTCAGTCCCCTCGCCGTGCCTGCCTCACCACGCTGAGGTCCATCCCCTCAAGCCGGTGTTTGGGGGTCATGTTACCCGGTCAGAAAACACCAAAACCCAATCAGGTGAGGCTCCCGGGCATCATCCAATCATGTGAGGCTCTCGGGCTTCATCCAATCAGGTGAGGCTCCCGGGCATCATCCAATCAGGTGATGTTCCGGGGACATCATCCAATCAGGTGAGGCTCTCGGACATCATCCAATCGGGTGAGGCTCCCGGGCATCATCCCATCACATGACGTTCCCGGGGCATCATCCAATCAGGTAAGGCTCTCGGGCATCATCCAATCAGGTGACGTTCCCGGGCATCATGCAATCAGGTAAGGCTCCCGGGCATCATCCAATCAGGTGACGCCCCCGGGGCAAAGTGGGGCGCTGCTATGCCGCGACATCACATTGCATGTTTAAACCTTTTTTCGGATTATTGATAGTGTGCGGCCACACACGTGAGCGTCACGTCGGGGAAGAATACTGAGTGAACCCAGTCAAGCAGTGGCTTCAGGCCTGTGTGTCAAGATTTTCCGCCTCATGCTTGTCGAGGATCATATGTGCCGTGGAATGGGTATCCTGCATGTGGTAAGAAGTAGCAGTTACTCGCGAATTGGATAAAATTTCCATCTGTTCGTGAATTGACGAGGGAAATATTATTTATAATATATTGGCCGTGCTTTATAGGTGCTGGTCGGGGAACTTGCATTTACATTTTCAGGAAGATAAACGGAATGGAAAGAGGCTTCAACGCCGAATGTCAATTTCAATGGCGCATAACCATTGGGGAACCATACTGCAACAAGTCGCTGAGTGCATTGCGCTTGAACCTCATGCTGCTGGCTGCAGTGTCGACCTCAAAAAGCATGTTTTGCATCGTCTTTTCGCCCTGTGGAACATCTCGTCGTCTCTCCAAATGGCCGACACATGCCCACCATTATTCCGATGTAGGAGGAAAACAACACAGACAGTTACATGGAAAATTTATTGAACCCATAATTGTCTGGTAGTTGACTCACACAGATGTCATACACGGTAAGTTACGACTAGATGCTGAGATTATTGAGCACGAACCAAACAATAGAAAAGGTGGCCCTCCGAAGATGTGGTGAGTGCACAAGAACCAAACTCTGAACGCGCGCCGCGATGGTACAAGGTGAATTGCCCCCGGGCGCGACGCGGTCGGCGGTCCTCGAAACAGGGGACGATAAGGTATTAAAATATTTCAGGGTCTGAATTTCCGGGAAACGGTGCGGCTGCGGTCCAACCGGGTATCCTAACAAGTACGCTACTGTTCTAGATCGCATGGTTCGCCACACTCACTCTCTCGCAGGAAACCCTGTCAACCGAACAGGAGCGTCAAATCGAACACAGGGCATCTTACGTACTAACCGCAATCATTAACAAACAATAGCAAAGGATAGAAAACCAGCTACACATGCCTACTCTGGAAGAAGATAATACACCAATGGAATGCTGCAACCATCCGGGGGCCCTCTCCTGTCGCAATGAGGCGCCGCCCAGTCCCGTCAATACAGGGAGCACCCGTAGCTCGCGTCCTCCGTTTGGCACAAACTCAGGACCTTAAAGCTAATCGAGTCGTATATGTATATCCGACGCCGCACACAGGTCTGCGCGTCTAAGCCTACAACAAACGTCGCGCCGGCCGCCGCCGGAGCTTGCCGAAATTCGGGATATCACATAGAGAAATATATGCGCGCGACTGCACAGAAAACCCCGGCGGCGCTGCCAACCGGGCGCCAACGTCAGACTAGCGGCGCAAACAAGCAGAACGCACGTGCCACAATTGCACTGATTGCAGGATTAGGCGAAAATGACTAGGTAAACGAGCTCAACTCCTCGAGCAACGCATCGATTCGGGCTCCTGAAAAAGAAAGCACAACTAAAAAATGGGAAAATCATACGAAATGCGCGAAACAAAATGCAAAAAAGGCATGGGATACCATAATAAGCCATGGCAAAACACAAGAGTATGTAGAAACGAAACACCGCATGCAGGTGAGGTAGATAGTAGAGTTATAACGCTGAAGAGGATGTAGGCAGGGCAGGGATGATACAATGCCAACTAAAACGCTAGCAAATAGTTATCAAACTACTCATCTCCCATTTAAAGAACCGTTGACACATAGTTGACTTAAAATGTATAGCAGCTTTGAGCACCACATATTGACCACGCCCTCTCCCATTATACCACAACTCTCACTCGACGCACGTCAGCAACCACCGCTCGGCCCAAATGATTCAAAATTCGCATTCAGCCGTTCGCACAGTAACAACGCCAATGAGCAACTAAAATCGCTACAAACAATTGTATGAGGGCCAGCCCCGCCACATGGCCCGTCAGAGGGCGTCCCCAGTCATCCCGGTATCGCACCAACCGTGCCCCGATCCTATCAGTGCCGCCGCCGCCAGCCAAACCGGAGCCGGCCCCGGGGCCGCAGCGGCGGCGGTCCACAACAACAGTTCAACAATCGGCCGCCAGGGGCGCTGCCTCCGCCGTGGCGACCGGTGCCGCCGTCCACTACCCGCGCCGGCGGCACAGCGGGCGGCTCGCCGGTCGACGTCGCTCGCGCCGCGGCTCGCCGGCGTGCTCGAGATTCTCCCGCGGCCTCCTCGAGCCCTCGGGCGGGCGCGCGGGTTAGTGCGATCGACGCGGCCGTGTCGGTGGGTTAGTTCGCTGCTACTCGTGCTTACTGGCTAGCCGGGCGGCGTCGGCCTTGCTGCGCGTGCCGGCCGCCGCCGCGTGCGGGTGCTGCGCGTAGCCCGGGTGGTCGTCAAAGATGACGCGTTCGCCGGGCCGCGGCGGCAGCGCGCGCGGGTCGTGGAACAGCGGACCGCGCGGTTTCCACACCGGAGACCCTGGCGAGAGAAGGCCGACGCTTACCGGGGCAGCGGGCGTGGTCAGAGAGTCGAGAGTCAGGCTGACACACTGGGAGCTTTTGGCAAAGGCACCATTAATTGACCATCACAAGATCCTGCGCATGCCACAAGGTGTGTGCCACACGCCTTGTGCCTTAAGTGCGGCAGATGAGCAAGTGCTGACACGGAACAGCATCGGCACATGACAGCAGAACGCATCGGACACCCCGCGTGAGGCGGCCAGACGGCGTCACCTGCCGGGGACGCACCGGCGGCGCGGGCGTGCGGCGGCTGGTAGTGCTCGGGCGCGTTGCTGGCCTGGATGAGGCGCGCCTGGCTGCCGGTGCTGCCCGCCGACAGCGTGCTGGAAGTGCTGAGGCTCAGATGGTTGGGGATGCGGCCCAGCTGGCCGGGCCGCCGCGGCAGCACCTCCTCCTCGGCGTCTGAGCGCGACGTGTCGTCACGCACGTCTGAGCCGTCGTCGCCGCGCTGGCCGCCGGTCGGGCCCGCCGCGCCCGGACGGCCTGCAGGTGAGAGCGTCACTCAGCGCGGCGGGGGGGGCCTGACGTGACCGGCGCGGGCGGACGGCTCCAGGTCGTGGTTAGGCACGATCGGATGACGGCGTGGAGTGACGTCAGCGAAGTCTCACGTGAGACACGACACAGTTGAGGAAACCATGCTGAACACATCCCAACCACCCCTTGTAGCTTTGTATGTCGCCTCGTTTTGATTATTCGGTGCAGGACAGACATCAGTGCAGCATTTTGAACGCCGGTAAAACCGGGCCAAGCCC